CCATGTCATGTGGTTTGTAGTTAGTATCTTATACTCTGTACAACGGGGTTCAACTGATTCTGCTCTTCATGTTACATCATGAGTTTGATATTGTGAGTGTTATCCTATGCAAGAAATGAGCCGGGAACGTACATTGAACAAGTCACTCGCGGATATACATGAGCATAATTAACTAACGACATAATCTAAGACAAATTGTGAATAGAATGAAACAAATGGAAGTTTCCAGACAATCAATTTACTATCTTATCGGCTATCATCATACATTGATATTGATTCAAGAACTAAAGAACTGAGAACCAGAGAACTTTACGATCGATCGCTTCCTACATTAAATTCTAACGTAATAGATGAATGTGCTCACTGAATGGTCACTCCTTCATCAGCCATTTGTAAGCACTGTCGAAGACACTTAATCCAGGACAAAACAGCCTTCGACTACTTCAACGCTTTCACGTTTCTACAGCTGAAATCAATCTGTGACAGTGATAAGTATGGCAACAAATGACAATGTTAATGAAGAACCTGATCTTGTCAGAAAACACAAAATAATGGCAAAGAATGAAGGCGAATAGGAATAATAACAAAAGAGAGCATTAAATGGTTGCAGGCGTTTTAAGTAAAGACACAAATGAATAAGGAGACAGAACAAAGTTGATGGTCACGTGATTTGAAGCTATGGTGACAAATTGAGAAAGCCCAAGTGAGAGTAACAAACTTTGTTTTCATGATACTTCAAAACAATTGAAGGCCATTGACAACGTTAGAAGAAATGTGGGCCACAGCCTCTTTTATTGACTTCGATTTGTTCATCTTCTGACTACTGAAAGATCACGTTTTATAAATCAACGGATTACTGCAATGCTGAAAATGCTTGAAGACCTGAAAATCAAACTCTGCCACAAATCCCGTATCCTATCTCCTTTACTGCTCCTTCTACGTTCTTCCTACCCTATGTATTACTATGTTATTATTTATCCCTTGGGTTCCTACTGGAACATAGGGCTTCAGTAGCACGTCACCATCTCACACTCTTATCGTCACTCTTTACATCCTGCCTCCACAAATGCTCACAACCTCTCATTTATTACTCACACAATATCCTCCATATCACCCTCACCCAGGACACACAACTCCTCCTTTCCCATTCACCTTCCAGTCGACGACAACACATACCCTGACCTGGTGTATGATATCCTCAAACCGTCTTCTCAGTGTATGCACAATCCTACCCATCTCCACTCTATTCTGCATATTTGTTCGACCACAGGTAGTTTGTTTGTTTGTTTGTTGGTTAGTTGGTTGGTTGGTTGGTTGTCAGCCACAGTGAGTCCCCTGTTGCCTATTCTCATTATTCTCGCCATCTATGTGATCTTCAGTGTCAGTCAGTGTTAGTGTTAGTGTCAGTGTCAGTGTCAGTATCGAGTGAGTGTAGGTGGCAGCAGCTGTCGATGTGGTGTATGTGTGTAGTAGTTTGTTGGAAATGCTTTTCGTAACGCACCACCAACATACTCAACCATATGGTGTTGAAGATCTGGATCTTTGTCTTTATGCTGAGCGCAGTCGAGCCGAGCCGAGCCGAGCCGAGCGGAGTGGAGTGGAGTGGAGTATATCTCCTCACTGATGTCAGATTAATGAATGTCTATCTAAATGTGAACTACTAGTTATGTGAGAATTGAGGAGAAGTTGGACTTTTGTGTAATTAGGACAGTAAGAAGATGAGAATGATGAGGTGTGGTAAGTTTCATGTATGAAAGTGTTGAGAAAGTTGCAACGAGATATGATCTTCTGATGATTTACGCGAAATCACCACCCTTTTAAAGAGATATCTCCAAAGTCTGGATGCTTTTCCTTTGGTGTTGTATCCTATTCTTATTCTGTTACTCACATATTGTGTATGAATTTATTGAAATATTTGTAGTCACCTGTAGAGGGATAGTTAAATGAGAGAGACTTAGTTGTGCTCAGAAAGTCAATTTGGAGCCTCACTTCACTGTCACATGAAACACTTCTCTGAGTGAATACTTTCTGATAATGTGTGAATGTCTAAACTTAAAGCATGTTATGTAGTTTGCAGTTCGTACCTTATACTCTGTACGTTTCTACATGCGTTCTACACATTCGTCAATCGGGTTCAACTGATTCTCCACTTCATGTTATATCATGAGTTTGATATTGTGATGAGTATTGTTAAAAGTCTAGATCATCTGTGTTGTTTTATTAGTGTTATCCTATGGATAAATGAACCATCTCAATGTAGGTTGAACAAATCACTCTTGTTGAGAATTCAGGCTAAAGAGTAGAATAGCGTTGAATGGGAACTGAGCTTTTTTGTTGATGATGACTTTTCAGAGCTTGGTCACATCGTGTGGACAATGTATTATCGTATTCCGTGTATTGACAAAGTATGCTCATTATTTCGCAGAGAGATGATTTGAAGGTGTTATGATTGGTGTATAAAAGTGATATATAATTATTAGATCAAGGGACTAAAAATCAGCTGACAGGAATTTCTTTACTTATGTTTTGTGCCATCCTTCAGTAATCAACAAGGGTTACCTCTATGGTCAATAATTCACACCTAAGTTACTCAAGCTTTTGAAACCAGTGGCCGAATAGCTCAATGGTAAAGTGGCTAATCAGAACACTGGATGACGCGGGTTCAAGCCTGAGGCATGACATCAGTTCTGTCAAGGTTGCAGATACGCCTTACTGACGAGTGCCGAAAAGCATGAAACATAGGTCTAGGACTTCCTGCCGATTGCCTCCAACCAACTAACATATTCAGACCACGTTTATCTCCTTTTAGGTACATGAATCAATCACAAGTAGGTGATTGATGTAACTCCGTAGTCTTATAGTAGCAAAGCTTCTATCTATAGCATTGAGTGATGAATGTTCATGTCACCGGGAGAATACCGATCTCCACAACGTTGCAGATACACAATGTTGATGAGTGACACAAAACATTCTGGTAACTGAATTCTAAAATCTGCTACCGAAATATTGAACTGCTTTTCTAGTTAGAATATATTATTATGGACTATTTCTGTTGAGTAATGCAATTTTACAAATATATATATGTATTAGAAGGAGTGCTTATATGATCATACATATTTTGATTGGTTTGGTTAACCTTGAGATATTTGAATGTGTATGTGTGTCTGTGTCTGTGTGTAAGTGACCTCTTTTATAGCACCTCGTCGATTTGTTCAACTCAAGGTCAATCAAAGCCTACACATTTCATATGGTATTTAGCTTTCATTTTCTAATTGCTTGTACTACATAACAGTGGTCCTATTGTCAATGGAATCATCAATAAGTGAAAAAAAAACAATAACTGAAACAGTGTTCTTGCTTATTAATTAAAATAACTGAAATATATTTATCACAATCTTAAGTGCTTACTTGATTATTGAATTGTAAAATGTAAGTTTTGTTTTATCAATTGGATGACATGTTTTGATATACTTAGAATTATTATAAACTCAACTATGTTGGTAATATTACTTCAATATATTTCGGTGGTAAACGGTACGATGCAATCGGTAGGAAGATCTTGTTGACCAAAGTTTTGGGGTTTCTTTTGGTGTTGTACAGCTGTGAGACATGGCTGTCAAAAGTAGATTATATGAAGCGGTTGTAGGGTTTTGATCATAGGTGTTTTTGTAGCATTGCTCGCATTGGTTGGAATCATCATATAGGCAACTTTGAGATGAGGCAAGACAGGCAAGTTAATTAATAAGGTTATGAATCTTAATCGATTAAAATGGCTAGCACATGTATTGTGCATGCCAAGCCACCGCCTACCTCAACTTACTATGCTGGTGGAATTTGGATTGAGGTAAAAAGAGGTTCAGGGTGGCCAGAATAAAGCCTAGTACCAGACGATGAGGTCACTAAATGTTAGCCTGAGACGTGTGGGGAGATATAAAATATATGGTTAGTGCCCCAGAGACAACAGGGAACAGTGATTGAAGACTCTTGGTGACATTGCTGTAGATCGGTCACAATAGCACACATATATTCACTCCTTGACATCGTCTAAATCTTGAATAGTCACACAGACCTTTATCTTACACAGCTTTGTCTACTTTGATATCACTCTTGTTGTGTCCACCTGTTCTCTGCGTACTTCTATGAAGTATGTCAACTGGAGCTGAAGAACTCCTGTGCAAGGTTCTACGTTGATTTTATTATTCAGTCAGTCAGGTTCTTTAACCTTTATCAGCAAGGTGCTACGTACAACCATGAGATAACAAGTGTTACCTCGTAGATCCGAACTTATATCACTGAGCGCTACAGTAAGAAATGTAACTACTGAGCTATTCAGCGTGTAATGTTGACTCTCCTAATCGGTTGACCACATAACAAAGTCGTTGCTTGAAAATATTTACTCTGAAACTAGAAAAGATAATTCAATAAAACTGTTTCATACTGGCTGACCCTTTATCAAAAGTTACTCAGTATTTTATTGTCAAATTATCAATCTTATGCACTTTACAGTAAGAACAGTAGACTTCAGCTGATACTGAGAACATTGTGTTTATGGATAGCTAGTGACCACCTGAGATGTAAAGATCAATAAGATAGCTGAGTCAACAGTTTTCATGTTATAATGATACTTGTAATTTTCCGCTGCTATACAGAGCCGAATTACCCGACCTCTGTTGGCAGATGGGCTTCTATGCAGATGCCTCGATACTGCCGCATATTCATGATGTTATGTTGATCTTGGTGACTAGCAGACAACCATTGTACAAAAGGTGACTATCATACCCCAGTGGCGTTTGAAGCGGAAGGTAACGGGTTCCTGCCTCATGGGGGGGGGGAACATCACTCCGCACCGGAGTGCAGGTACATCCAGCTGACTAGTCCCAAACAGAACGAAACATGCGTCCTGGATTCCTCCGCCAGTCACCAACATGAAAAAGTGATCCTAAATTACTTTTTTTTCCACTTATTTTTCAGCTATTCTTGTCTTGTGTATCTACTAACAAATGAATGGTAGTACAAATCGTTCAGATTTAATACCATCCATTATAATTGAAGACTATTCCGGTTCTCAAACATCGCGAATACATTCAGGTGAACAAACACCGGTTAGCAGTCATTTTGGTTCAATAGCTAGTGATGAACAAAGTGTTACAAGTAGTCATGGTAGTAAACACCAAAAATCACATTTATCTGGTCGTAGACTACGTTCAAGATTGAAGGCATTGATTCGATATAAATCAGATAAGCAACAACAGCGAGAACAAAAAGAACAACAATATGATCGTACTAATAAAAAAGTCTTGGAGATACTAGTGATCCTGGAGCTAATTCTTCGTCTAACACTATTACTAGTTATCATACAAATAAACAAGTATTAAGTGATAATTATCCTGAAAAGAAATCATTAATCTATGATCCTATACCGCCTATGTCAAAATTTCATCAAATCTGTCCAGAATATTATTCAGAAAATGAGTTTAAATACAATGAAAATAATGATCGAAATGAACCTGATGTCGATGGTGTAATCATGAGTGAAGATAATGAACAGACAGAGTCAATCAATTCATTAACAAAACACTTTCAAAATACACTAATACATAATGATATGGATTCACCGACACGTTGTACTAACCAACAATATCCATTAGTAATACAACATTGTTCTGAGATGAAACATCATACAGATCCATCATATGAAAAACATTATCATGTTATTCTAGAGGAGAAAGAATTACTGAATACTGGGAATAGTTCAACAATACATCATGATCACCATCGTCATCATCACCATCATCATCATCATCACAACCATAATCATAATCATCATCATCATCAACATCATCACAAATCACGATCGAGTAAAAGTTTATCCTCTAGTTTGACAAAAACTTTACAAAATGAAGAAATTAACTATTCTGATGATAAAGAGATGACAGAAAAAAGGACGGATTTAGTAAGTCTGTGATAATTTTATATCATTATTTGTCCATTGCGTTCCTACTGGAACATAAGGCTTCAGTATCACGTCACCATCTCACTCCCTTATCTTCAGTCTTCCCATCCTGCCTCCACAAATGCTCACAACCTCTCATTTATTACTCACACAATATCCTCCATATCACCCTCACCCAGGACACACAACTCCTCCTTTCCCATTCACCTTCCACTCGATGACAACACATACCCTGACCTGTTGTATGATATCCTCAAACCGTCTTCTCATTGTATGCACAATCCTACCCATCTCCACTCTATTCTGCATATTTATTCGACCACAGGTTATTTCTTTGTTTGTTTGTTGGTTAGTTGGTTGGTTGTCAGGCACAGTGAGTCCCCTGTTGCCTATTCTCATTATTCTCGCCATCTATGTGATCTTCAGTGTCAGTCAGTGTTAGTGTTAGTGTCAGTGTCAGTGTCAGTATCGAGTGAGTGTAGGTGGCAGCAGCTGTCGATGTGGTGTATGTGTGTAGTAGTTTGTTGGAAATGCTTTTCGTAACGCACCACCAACATACTCAACCATATGGTGTTGAAGATCTGGATCCTCTTCTTTATGCTGAGCGCAGTCGAGCCGAGCCGAGCCGAGCCGAGTGGAGTGGAGTGGAGTGGAGTATATCTCCACACTGATTTCAGATTAATGAATGCCTATCTAAATGTGAATTACTAATTATATGAGGGTTGAGGAGAAGTTGGACTTTTGTGTAATTAGGACAGTAAGAAGATGAGAATAATGAAGTGTGGTAAGTTTCATGTATGAAAGTGTTGAGAAAATTGCAACGAGATATGATCTTCTGATGATTTATGCAAAATCATCACCTTTTTAAAGAGATATCTCCAAAGTCTGGATGCTTTTCCTTTGGTGTTGTATCCTATTCTAATTCTCTTACTCACATATTGTGTATGAATTTATTGAAATATTTGTAGTCACCTGTAGAGGGATAGTTGAATGAGAGAGACTTAGTTGTGCTCAGAAAGTCAATTTGGAGCATCACTTCACTGTCACATGAAACACTTCTCTGAGTGAATACTTTCTGATAGGTTATCAATGATAATGTGTGAATGCCTAAACTTAAAGCATGTTATATAGTTTGCAGTTAGTATCTTGTACTCTGTACAACTCTGTCTCTTCTACTAATTTTGAAACAATACGGTGTTTTAATTTTTTGGGAGACAGGAGATATGTGTACTGTTTTCGCCTATCTGTCTCTTTTTTAGGTACTGGCTGTACTGAATGACTGACTTAAACAAGGATTTCTCTCTATGTTGTTTCCTAAGGGGTGTTTTATTCAGTTAATGGAAAGCATTAAAGGAAAATTGACTGTTTGTACTGGTTTCTGTTGGATTTTTCATTAACAAAACAGTGAAGGCTTGATGAATAGCGAGAGTTTAATTCGGATTCACTACTTGAAACATCTTTAAAACCCGTTTAATAGACTTCGAAAAAATTATTAATCCGTACATTTTCTCATTCAACTTTATTTCTTGCGAGGAGGATTGAAGCTTTACTAGAATGGGAAACATAACTAATTATCTAACTGTTTTAACGGTCTCATTGTTTAAATGATAAGTATCCGACCTGTTAAAATGGTTTTACGGCTTCACTGATCATGTCTTCTTTCCTTGGATGTTACTTTTTTTAATGGTTGAAAGCAGGGAATTTGATACCATGCATATCATTTCACATGAAGCTTTTCAGTATTCAACGTATTGTAATGGTTCCATAAAAGTTGAATCACAGTTTAGATTCAGCTTATAAGTAACTTAAAATATTGACTAGAATTTATTTGGAACCTACTAATTTTGAAGGCAATAATCATCATGAAATGATATCAGTTGAAAAAGATTAAAAACCTGGGAGCAAAAGACAACTGAGAAATCTCATTTATAGTTAAATAAAACAGCTGTAAAGTTTTTTCAAGTTTTTAAATGATTTGTCAACTGATGTCTATTGTCTAATCAAAATGATTTACTTCGTTATAACGCCTAGAAATACATTTTTCCGGGTATTTTCATGTGATATGACTATATTTACAAAGAATGATTGGATTGAAACGTCTCGAGTCTCTAAATTATCATAGAATGGATACACTAACATTTTTTCACATTATTGTCAAGCGTGATAAAAAATATTCTGAATCATATAAAGAAGAATATGTTGGAGATTTTCTGTTACAGTTGCTTTTATTTCAACTTTTTCAAAGTTTTATTGTCATTTATATAAATGTTGCTTTTGGCTTCTTTTCTCAGAATATATATAGTCATTTATTGGTTAGAGGTAGTTAGAAATAGTCCTTAGAACTACGTGTATTTGCAACCTTGAAGCAACTCTTATTGCCTCTGAGATACAGATCTATATCACCTAGTGGTGGAGCCAAAACGTTATTGCTGAGCTATGTGGGTAATCTCCCCTATGATCTCCTTTGTCGCTCATTGTATGACATGTTCACCGAACTATGAGAAACATCATCACAGTACAGAGTGATAGACTAACATCTATCAAATTGTACCATGATATTCATTCTCCTAGCTTGGTGGTCATATCTCATAATGATCGAAATTGATTACTTCAGATTAACCATTTAGTGCATCTAATCGAGTCCTCTTGGTGATTATAACCTCTATGACACAGTAGAGCAATCAAATACGTTATTGTTGATCTGTTCAGTCGTTCTATTATCCTCCTCTACATCTGGTTATGTACATCGACTAGACACATAAAACTGGTTACTCAACAGTGATCATCTACTGAAGCATTACTCAAACCCAGTAGACAGTTAAACTTCATAACTGAATTCATTTAATTACCGAATTCAGTATTCTATCTCCAACATCTTCGTTTTTAGTTCGCTTCAAGTTTCTTATGAAAGAACTTTGTTCATTGTCCCCAGTTACATTAGATATGAAAATTTTATTTTTGATTCATAAAAATAAAGGTAATAAGACTTCAAATAAGTAAATTTTATGCTGTTCGACATTCATCAATAGTCTATATCTGGAAACTTGAGTAAGTCTTTCATAACAGATATATGAAACTGTAGACCAATGAAATCCGACCTGGTAGTTGAATGAATAACTTATTCTCTATAAAACCTTAAGATCTTGTTTTCATCCCTAAAGAGGCTGAGTCGTAGGTGCGTACTGTCACGGAGTCCCATACTTATGCGAAATAACTGTCCAATGCTCTCAGGTTTTCAATAGTTTTCCAACTGAAGTCAATCCATGATGAATACCATCCTTAAATATTTCTATGTTTCTTAAAAATACGATCGTTTTTTTGTTTTGTTTTTCGGTTCACTATGATTTCAGATAGTTGATCAATCATTTCCATCCACTATCTTTGCATCTTCTAACCGAATTGATATTCTGAAGATCTTTAACCAATTTCAATGAAATCATACAGTATTTATGTAAACAATCTAACCATATTCTGACTTATAAGGAAAAAGATATTATAGAATGAAGATAAAAAAATTACTTGAATTTCTTGACGTTAGATTTATCTTAAGTAAAAGCAGATTGAACAGTTTTACAGATTTCAATAGATCCAATGTATTTCATTGCATTCTGTTCGATTGCTTACAAGTTAATAAAGTTAACTATTTTAGGAATAAATATAAAGATACATGAAAATTCGGCTATGAAATTGTCACTTAAAACTGCGTGTATCAGTTTACGAGTATAAACGAAAGCTATGAAGAAGGATAGATAGATGGGCCTGTATACACTTCACTGAATCTAAGCCTTAAATGTCTAGATAGTATCAATAGTTTAGCAGTACGCTTTATGTTAGGTACACAACGTGACATAAGAAGTAAAATGATATTCAATGGAACTAGTAAACAGTACCAGTATATCTTACTTCACTCTGAGGAAAGCCCTTCAGACGGTTCCAGAGTCTTCTAGAGACCTTGAATGGCAATTTAAGAATGTTTGGAAAGTGTTTCTTTGCAACCCAAATGTAAACGCTTTCTCCATAAATGGTCTTTAATGATACCTCGGCTAACAATAGAGAATGAAGTCGAATCAACCCTGGTTATTCAGTGGCCGACAAAATCCCTACACGGATACAGAAGGCTGGGTAGAATTTTTGCCAACTTACGCCATACATGGAACCATCATGATATCCAATTTCCTGTTAAGAGCCGAGTGTGCTATGTTTCAGTCCTCTCTGTTCTACTGTATGGCTGTGAAACATGGGCGTTTAAGTGGAAGGCATGAGAAGGCTCCAGGTGTTTGACCACCGTTGCCTTCATAGCAAAGGTCATGTTTCGTGGTGTCACCACATGCATCGGGTCGGGTAGAGAGTCTTAGGCAGGAGAGGTAGTCAGTTGATGCACTTCTGAAGGTTCATCGACTTAGATGGCTAGGACATATGTTACCTATGTCTAGCCATCATCCAGCTTGCCGAAGTAGGTTCAGGCCGGTAAAAGGCTCGAGGTGGCCAGACTAAAATATGGCATCAATGCATGAAGTCATTGACTTATTAGTTTGAGCCATGTACAGCGATTTAGAGTTAAAACTTAACTATTGCATTCAGAAAGAATCAGTAATTAATTTCCAGCTTTCTTCATAACAGCATAAACTACTACTACTTTCCAAACTACTTTACTACACCTTCATAACAATCTTAATAAGGAATATCAAGATTTGACTTCATTAACCTGTAAACAAACAACTGAAGAGGATGTAACAAAATACACTGCTCACTAAGGGAATTGAATCTATACATTTCTAGTGTATATCATTGTAGAAATTTGCATTGAACATTAGATGAATAAATGACTTTATCATGTGATAGGTGACTGAAATGTTAAACAACATAACTAACTAAAAATCCTAATTAAAATTTTTGAACATTCAATTTACAATATTCATTCAATAGTCAATTAATAATTAATTTTTTATTCATTTTGTACAATAAAGTTAGGCATAATTTAATTTTAAATAAATAAGAAAGATTTCAGTTTACTTTGTATGTAATTAAAGAAAGAAAAAAAAATTTGCTAACCAAAAAAAGGAATAAATTAATAATTAGTAAAATCATGTTAAGTGATATTTTTCATAGTAATTTCAACTCATTTTATGGAAATATTGCCTATTTAGTGTTATTGCTTGTATTACACCGTCGTTGATTAGACTGAATTGATCAGTCTGTGTTGGCATATGGGCTCCCATGCGGATGCCTCGATATTGCCTGTCTTTTAACTACGTTTAGTAATGATGGGCAGTGGCTAGCAGTGGAATCCAGTATGCGCATTTTGTCCTATTTGGGATTCGTCAGCTGGATGTACCTGCTTCCTAGTGAGTGATGTTGTTCCCACAAGGACTCGGACTCGGGAGTGATCGCTTCGAACGCCAGCGCGTTTTCCACTACACCACCGAGCCACGATAGCCACTTCTTGTGAGACGGGTATAGGTTTAGTGTTATTGCTTGAATTACACCGTCGTTGATTGGACCGAATTGAAGTGGCTATCGTGGCTCGGTGGTGTAGTGGAAAAACGCGCTGACGTTTGAAGCGGTCGCTCTCGAGTCCGAGTCCCGGTGGGGACAAAATCATTAACTGGGAAGCAGGTGTCTCCAGCTGACGAGTCCCAAATGGGACGAAATGTGAGTCCTGGATTCCACTGCTAGCCACTG